GTCTGTAACAGCTTCAGAAGAGGATTGAGAGGCTTTTACAGGCTGAGGATCGGCAGAGCTCACCTGTTACTCGTCCGCCATCTTGGGATGTCGCGGATGCACCCGGCTAGGATCGTTTTACATTAAATCCAACCACCAGCTGAAAAAATGATGCAAGGATGATGCCTGTAGTTGCAGACATCATCCCGGTATAACCACTCCAAGTCCAGCATTATACCAGTATATTGCTGGTCCATGTTGGGCATATATGTAACAGCAGAGAACATGGGTATTTGGTGAATCGGGTCTGTGGACCAATATGACCGCAATTTATTCTTTTTTGTAATTGCCATGTCGAGGGTTAGGCCCAAAAAAAGTTTTAAATTCGGAAGCCATGATAGGTTTCCATATGACTTGTCTGGCAAGAGCTGAATTTGGGTGGGCGGTGATCAGGGGCGGACTGAAAACTCATGGGGCCCCCGGGCAATAGGGGATCATGGGGCCCCTGTGTCCTTGCCCAAACTCAAAATAGCCTATGAAAAAGGTACCAGGGGCATCTCATGGGGCCCCTTATTGACCCCAGGCCCTCGGGCAGCGTCCGAGTTTCCAAATGGTCAGTCTGCCCTTTGCGGTGATGTAGTATTGTTGTGCATATAAATTGTTTTGGCAATTCATACAAATCTTCTGTGAAAAACAGCAAAGGGGCTAAATAATGGTGCTGGCAGTGAAAAGGGGCCGATCCTTCTAACACTGCATTTTTTGGGACACTATACAAAGGAGGCACAAGTATAGTTCTGTTCATGATCAATATATTGATCTGTACAAACACTATACTAGTAGTGATCAGCGACCTATAGCGTGAATACGATAGTGATGATGATGATGTAATAATCAGTGATTTTTTTTTTTTTTACACTTTGCATTGCATGAGCAATGTCTTTGAAATGTCATGAATGTGTTAAAGTGTTACTAAACCCACAACAGTAAAATCAGTGTGTATATGCAGTAAAGCAAGCTTGTTATACTCACTGTAGAACCTAAGGGGTTATTCCTCTGCATTGTGTAAAAAGGCTGTTTGATCCTGACTTCTCTGATCCTCTCCTTCTTCCAGTGCCCCCCTCTTATCTCCTGATAAGACACTCTGCACATGCTCAGTTTGGTGTATATTGCTTGACAGATATTTTTTTTTTCCTTGGGAGAGTGCATGTGATCAGCACTGTTCGGACAGAGGTCAGGGGTTCTGCATCCTCCTAGAGCAAACTTATAGCAGGACTGTGGCGGGCATTCTTACACTGGCGGAAACTGACTTGGTGTCACTGACATCCCCAGTGACACCAATAAAGTGATCAGTGCTATTATAAAGCACTGACACTGTACTATTGGCACTGGGCAGTAAAGGGTTAACTGTGTGCTGGGAGTGTTTTACTATGGGGCTGTGCTTTCCACTGAAAGCACACTGCTTTGTATGGCTCTGCTATGCAGTGTGGAGGAGCTCCAGGGGAGAGAACTGTAATACTCGGCGATCACCAGGTGTCGGCGAGTAATTGTGTGCAACCCCTACCCGGAACTGCAAAATTACGTATATATATACGTGATTTTGCGCACCCATGCCGCCCTGTAGCAGTATTTCTGCAATAGGACGGACGGGAAGCGGTTAAGCAGCACCTTGTTACCCTACTGTATTTTATTTACAATAGAATGCCAGTACAAACAGAACAGACACAGGATACAACACTAGCTCTGTACATGAAAAGCCCTTCTTGGGAATATGGTCCTGAACTCCTTGTGTCCGCTGCCAGAGTGACCTGATTGCCAGATTGCCATGCATGTTAGGCCATACTGGGTTGCACTAATTCCACACCAAATGCAACGTTCTAAGTAAAATGGTATCTGAAGTAAAATGGCATTGATTTAACTTCTATGTCTTACTGAAGAATTAGGTTGCCTGTGGATGGTGGCAAGTCAGCAGGTTACCATACTGTATGGACAGACTAGGTCTAAGGAGGAATGTCAATGCATTATATTGTAAAGCGCTGAGCAAACTGTTGGCGCTATATAAATCCTGTATAATAATAATAATACATAAAGTTGCATATTAAACAGAAAAAGGTGTTTTTCAATATCGAGTACTAAACAGCTACGTATATTAAAGCTGTACTGAGGAAATTATGGAGGTACCATCAATGACATAATTGCTTTACCGTCTCTGACCTCAGAACTTCTTAATCAGTGACTTGCTACAAGTATGCAGAATATAATTTCAGAGTGATGCCTAAACTTCTCATCTACATACTTAGTCTGGACCAGTGACTAGAAAATATTGAAGGCACCGAATCAATATGACAGAAAGGCAACTAGCATTTTTAGATTGAGAGGCAGCCTCTATGTTTATATCAGGAAATGTTTCTGGAAGGGCCTGTGACAATGGCATTTTGTTCCCATTGAAACTACTGATCTTCCAGACAGGTGAATAGGAATGCTAACACAGCTTGAAGCAGGTTGATTCAGCTTAGGAAGGTAAACGACAGGTCAAATGTACCTGTCAATGCTCTCAGGAGTGTCCAAACTGATGTCAAATGTGAGCAGAATGCATCAAAGCTACATTTGCCTTCCAAAACATGTCCTTAAAGTGGTTCTAAAGGCAAAAGGAATTCAGCTACTTTGTAAAAACTGCAGGCATACCTTGAGATAAGTCTAATGAGAAGACTGCCACCTTCTAGACTGATCTCTGATAACTTCCGGAGCTCCGCTTCTGCTCTCTGTGGGTCTCAGTTCCATCAAGAGCAGAGTCACTGGAACAACTATGCCCACCCCTCCCCTCCTTCTGCCCATTCCTAGAAGCCTTTGTATTATGTGAACTCATTCACAAAATACAAAGGCTTCTGTGAATGGGCAGCAGAGGGGAGGGGAGGGGTGGGCATAGCTGCTCTGCATGTTTCTCTCCCCCCTTTCACAGTATCCAGTGTCCCATGTATCCTCCAGGAGTGCAATAAACCTTTCATATATAAGTAATAGAGAAATGTCCTGACGATGACACTCACTTAACTCATAGTGTGCCTGCACTTTTTGCAAAGTTGCTGAATTCTTGGAATTCAGCTTCAATGCATTTACTGCATTAAGATATAAAAAGTGGCTCCCCCAGCCCCCCCCCCCCCCCCCATCCCCCAAACACTTACCTGAGTCCATTCTGGAATAATCACTGTGCCCATTTGCTGCAGCTCTTTTCTCTTCTTTCTGGTCTCACTGGAAGCTCTAATAGCAGCAGAAGCTATTGGCGCCTGCTGCTGTTAGTCAACACCAGTGAGGAGAGAGCGGGAGGGGGGAGAGAGGGGTCACACAGCCTGGCACCAGAGCTCGTCTGCTCTAGTGCCCCCATAGCAAGTTCTTTGCTATGGGGGCACTCGTAGAAGAGGAGGAGCAGAGAGCGCCAGTGAGGTACCCCAGAAGAGGAGGTTCAAGGCTGCTCCGTGCAAAGAGCAGGTAAGTATAAACGTGTTTTTTTATTTTAGAAACAAATATTGGGTTTACAGCTGCTTTAAATGTGGTGTATTTTTCACATTTACAGTTATGCACTTGCAGTCATGCAAATGATACCAGAAAAATATTTTTTTTTCTTCTTTAACTACCTAGTAGTCCTATCTGTATAAAATATTACATCATGTATTTGGTTTTATGTCACTTTTATTTTAGCAGTGAAATCATTTTAACACTCTAAATTAACTTATTCTGACAAGCAGAATGTTTGATTCACAAATGTAGGAAAATGGATGTTTACAAAACACTGAAATATTTATATTATATATACATTTTATATATTATCTTTTTGAGTGGGAGAAGCAAATATTCCTTTTAAACACAACACAAAATATATGTATAAATATACACACATACATATGCATGTGTGTTTCAGTATATTCATAAATATACTAAACAACAGATTGTCCCATCACATTATATCATCAATGTGATGTCACAATAATGTGCAGTCTTCCATGCTCTTATTTAAAGACCTATGCAATCAAAAGATAATTAAAACTAGAGCTGTGTTAAGGTATTTCATAACATAATGCAGTATGGAGTATGTGGCAATATATATATTTATTCTGGAGGCAAGGAGATTGCTTCTCTGTGCACGGTTTGCATTTAGAACTTAGCATGTTTTAAATTTGCTTTTCTTAATAAGGCATATAGGTCCTTGAAAGCTATGCATCATCCAACCAATATTGCATATATTATTAAAGGAGATTTTTGGTTGGGGATCATATGTCGGCTATGTGTGAAATATTTAGTATAATAAATTTCCTGTAATGATATATACAAATGCAGAGTAACGTATCACTTCTTTTCTACACATATTGATTTGGCATTTAAAGACATACACATATATAAATATTTCTAATATAGATATATATATATCTATGTATATGTCTATGTACACAGATATATATAGACAAGTATGTCTTTTTTTGTGGAGCCTAGAAGAAAACAGCAAAACAATACAATTTTATAGTGCAGTGTTGCTGTCCTGTGGGCTGGTTAATGTTTTAGTCTTAAAAAGTATGGTTTCTAGAGAGCCTAAGGAAACAAATTTATGTTGCACTAGAAAGTTTGTATTGGGCTGTTCTCATCTAATTTATTACATTATCCAAACAAATACCCACTCAGAGCTCTTTGATTCAAACGTGATTACCCATCTTTGTCATATAAACTATATATATAGAAGTATATATACATGTGTATCTGTTCTTTTTTTTTTTTTACAATTTAATGCAGAGGTGGTTCCTGCATACTTTTCATACTACATATTTCACAGGATCTTGTTTGCTCTTTCCATTAGAGACATCATTTTTGCATCAGAGATGGTAATATCCTCTCATCAATAACCTGCAATGTTTTATCAGAGAATTAGACAGTCTTTGTGCAGGCTAGATGGAGGGTTTGATGTTTGGCTTTGGAACCATAGATCTGGGAGCCATAGGATGGATCCTGGATGTTAAAGGAAGAAAAAGATCATGAGTTCTTCACACGGTGATTTTATTCTCCAGAGCGGTGAGCCTCTTGGATACAGCTTCAAGTGAGGCAGGAGTTAAGGCAACAACTGTATGGTACAACATAAAACATTATTGGCAGGGTTAGAGACAAAAGGGCAATGGCTTAAGACAAAGCTTCTTCCTATGAGTATAATCATCCTCTGTGTTTATCTAAATTGCTTAGGCAGATTTAATCCTATCATTGTGCAGCAATCAAGATGTTTAGAAGATGGAGGGATAGGAAGTTTTTAGTTCACCCGCAGGCTCTTTTTTTACAGGGAACCTGTGCTCCTTTCACTCAGCAGTAAATTGGACCCAGTGAGGATCCTGCTTTTATTTTCTGGTAGAGGACACATGAGATCATGATCCGTGATTCTCTTATCTCTGTAATATCATTTCTGACTGGCCCTATCCTAATCAAACTTGTATTTTAAACTGCCCAGTGACAAAGGTTCCAACCCTTCTCTTTTTTACTGTTATTTGTGTTTTCATCGAAAAGATTTTCATATAGTTTCAGTTTCGGTACGAGAGTTTAAGGAACTAAAGGATAATCTCCATACCACTGCACAGACGGAAAAACAAAAAAGAGCAGATATTTCATTCAGTTCCCACATTATCCAAGTCTTACCTGAAGACTTGAGCTAGCAGGGAATAACTTGTAAGCAGTTTGAAACTGCTTACTAAATTAGGTACTGGCCCAGGCTGAGTTGGGAAAGGGTTAAGATCACTGATCCTGGTGCGCAGGCTTTTTGCAGCTTCAGCCGGACCACCTGTGATATAAATTTGGGGAAGGGTGGGGTCCAAAGAGCCCCAGCACTCTGAGAGTCGCCGTACACTCTGCTGTGGTGCTCTTCCCATTTCCAGGAGAAGTCCAAGCCGTCTTTCTTCTATACCAAGAGCCCCATGATGCCACCATCTATGAACAATGCCACCAACTATGGACTGCGCCACCATCTATGGAATTCAACACAATGAAAAGTCACCTGTAATGTATGCCTGGGCCACCTATTAGTTAGTAAGAGTCCGACACCAGAGCATCGTGAAGTTAAAAGAATCAATTTATTTTTACATTAAGACATAAAAAAGGAAATCAATTCCTGAAAGAGATTGACTAAGACATCGTAGGGGGCTGAAACTTGTCAATCTTTTTCAGAAATTCATTCCCTTTTTTATGTCTTGATGGAAAATATAAATGATTCTTCTAACTTCAAGATGCTCTGGTGCTGGATTCTTACTCTTCTACTACATCCATAGATGGCAGGTACTACTTAAGTCCAGCCACAGGCTAATGGATCTCATCCTTATAATATGAGCTTTTTCTTGGGATAGTAGCATCATTACTTTTCATTTGGATGCCACCTATTAGTTAGAGTTATTGAAGGAACCATTGCACAATACTTGCATCACTCTCCTAAACATAAAAACGGAGCAGATGCTGCTCCTAAATAACAAAAGGGCTGCACACCCCTTGTTTATTATGAGCAATCCGTTCTCTCTTCAGTGACAGGCAGCACAGAGAATGTGAGAGCTGGGGCTGCATGCTCCAATCAATCTGCCCTTCCCTGCCTGAATCAGAGCAGGTGGGAAGAGAAGGGTTGTTAATGCTCAAGCTCTGTGTGTTTACACACACAGAGCTTGAGCAGTAACAACCCTTCTCTGCCCTCCCACTGCATCAATGCATGGACAGAGAAAGGGAGTGAGTGTCTGCTGACAGCTCACATCTCATATGACCATAGGATCACATGTGGCGGGAATCTGTGCCACCTTTCTACATAGAAAACTGCCATATTTCCTCTGTTAATTAGGTGCAACCTTGTGCTAGTTTCCAAATTCACCCTGAACTAGAAACTGGCATAGGTGGTGCAGAGAGATCTGATACCAGTCTATCTGCTTACTTAACGTGGCGCACACCACTCCTGAAGTTTCCTGTGCCATTATAATGGCGCAGGAAACTTAGTTCATTCCCCAGTATAGGTCTGTTTTGTCAAATCTTTTGTAGTCTTTTTTTTTTGAAAACCATAGCAAAAGTCTGTTCTTGTTATAGTATAAAAAGGATATTTTTCCTTGTTAATGACTGGATGAGTTCCTCCACCTTGCTCTGGAACTTCACAATTGCCTCACATTCACAGGGATTCTCTTCTGCTCATTCAAAAGAGAAAAGTAATTAGTCATTAAAATCAATGCCAATCATATTTACTGGATCCAAATACATTATACATTTCTGTTGCGAACAAGCATTTTTTTTTTTCCCTACTTCATTGACACATACCCACACAAATCTTCATCTGAAGTTTCTTGCCAATTTCCTTCATGGCCTTGAAATCAGCTGTGTAGAAATAATGTTCACCCACAGGTTCTGAGGCAATCATCCTCAGCTCATCTTCCACAGCATTGCCCACACCGACAGCATACATCTTGTAACCTATGCAACATATATAGATGCTGTTTAGTTCTAAATTGTTGTCCAGCTTCTGAAACACCATACATTTCATTGGACTGAACTCCATACAACCAGATTTTTGTAAGCAGTACACTTTCATGTTATGCAACCTTATTTAATAGTGATAATAAACTAGTTAACCACCTGACCTCCAGAGGATTTACCCCCCCCCCCCTCCTGAAAAGGCCATTTTTTGCTTTACGGCGCTGCGTTACTTTAACTGACAACTGTAGCGCAACGCTGCACCCAAATGAAATTTACATTCTTTTTTTTCCCACGAATTGAGCTTTCTTTCTGTGGTATTTGATCGCCTGTGCTTTTTTTAATAAAAAAAAAAGACTGACAATTTTGAGAAAAATTTTTTTTTGGACTTTTTGCTATTAAACATGTCCAGTAAAAAAATTTAAAAAATCAAATTTCGGCATAAATTTAGGGCAAAAGGTATTCTGCTACATGTCTTTGCTAAAAAAAAATTAATTGGTTTATGTGAAATTTGTAGCTTTTACAAATGGCGGTACATATACTGTGATTTTTTAAAAAAAAAAATTTTTTTAATAGTAATGGCAGCGATCAGCGATTTATAGCAGGACTGTGGGACTGCAGCAGACATTCTGACACTGGGGGGAACTGACATCTCCAGTGACACCAATACAGTGATCAGTGCTAAAAAAAAGCACTGACATTGTATTAATGGCACTGGGCAGGAAGGGGTTAACATGAGGGGAGATCAAAGGGTTAACTGTGTGCAGGGAGCGTTTTATTAGGGGGCAGAGTCTGTGTGCTCCACTGTAAGCACACTGCTTTGGATGGCTCTGCTGTGCACAGCCATCCAAAGCAGTGTGCCTGCGCTGACAGGGAGGAGAATGTTTAGTAAACAAAACCGGTCTCATCCCTATTGGAGATCCTCAGTAATCACGGGGCGCTGGCAAGTAATCACTGGCCAGGACCCGGTGTTTGACAACCGGGTAGGGTGTGAGCAGCTTGCATGCACACCCTACCCAGCAATGCAAAATCACGCATATATAAAGTGATTTTGCGCACCCATGTCACCCTGTAGCAGTATTTCTGCTATAGGGTGGTTGGAAAGCAGTTAATTAAGTGTATGTACATCAGTACTCCCAATTAGCCATTTAGATGGGACACTTCTGAACGATGGAAACTGACTGCTGGAAAACGTAGGATAAAAAAAACATTTGTTTAGCTGCGTTTGCATAACGCGTTTATGCGCATTTATGCACGTTTGTGTTTAGAAGCGTTTTTTAAAGATAAGCACAAGAGAACCTCCCAGATGCCCAGAATGCACTGAAAAGTGGTAAATTATTAACTATTTTAGACTGTTTCAGAGTAATACAGAAAGTAGAAGTATGGGCAGCACAGTGGCTAAATGGTTAGCACTTCTGCCTGGCAGTACTAGGGTTGTTGGTTCAAATCCCCACCATGGCACCACCTGCCTGGAGTTTGCATGTTCTCCCTGTGCCTGCGTGGGTTTCCTCCGGGTACTCTGGTTTCCTCCCACACCCCAAAGACATGGCGGTAGGTGAATTGGATCCTGTCTAAAATTGGCCCTAGTATGTGTATGTATGAATGTGAGATACGGACCTTAGATTGTACACTCCTTGAGGGTTAGGGGCTGATGTGAATGTACAATATATATGTAAAGCACTGCATAAATTGAGGGCGCTATATAAGTACCTGAAATAAATAAATAATAGAAGCAGAGACAGCAGTATATGTTGAGATTAGCTTAGGTGGGAGTTGCTCAGTAACATTTCTTTTGTTTCCAAGGGTAGGAAAGGTGTCTGGTGGAGTGAGACATTAAGGTCACCTGGCAGGGGGTCTGCATGAGGAATTTGAGGTGTGAATGGTCATTAACATGTCTTTTGTTTCCAAGGGTGGGAGAGGTCTGAGGTGAGAATTGGTCATTAAAATGTGTGACAAGCTGGGTAGGAACATCCTGTATTCAGTATTTTGTCCATTTGAGTACCTTGAAAACGCTTTCCATGCATTTTTCATGCTGGAAAAAGGCTCTGGACAGCATCGGGAACTGGAAGAGTTAAAAAAAAATTTCAAATGCAAACGCTTATGAAAACCAATTTTCCACTTTTAGCCACTTTTACAAGCGTTTTGCATTTGAAACGCTGATAAAATCAACTGCTGAACGCAAGTTTTCTGCGTTCAAAAAAAAAACGACTGTAAACTCAAATGCCTGTAAACGCCTGTAAACGAAGATGTGTACATGGAGGCATAGGAAAACATTAGGGTGAGTTCAGGGGCTGTTAAAAAAAAATGCTGAACATCTCCTAAACGTGAGTTTATCAGCTGCAGTGTATATGAGCCCTTATTTTCAACATTCCTCCCACCATAAACATGCAATTTGTACCCATGAATTTTTTTAAAAGACTGGAGAAACTCAGATCTCTATAGTGCAAATCAAGTTCAGTTGGCAGTGGCAGTCTAGCTGGTAGGTTAGCTTTCAGGACTCATTCAGACCAGTACATGCACCTTTTTTGCATGCTTCCCACGCATAGGGTGCCACATTGAAACTAATCGGCTGCCCTAAACTCAATGCACAGGAGTATGCATGCTCAGTCTAGTGTGAACTTAGCTCCAGTTTTTGGAGAGTAGCACTATTGATTAAACTGCTTCCTACCTGAACCCTTAATACTAAGGCCTCATTCACACCATACATACAGAAAATCTGCTGGGAAAACCGCATAGATTTCACTTGCAGAGACATCAGTTTACACCAGTTTTCATGTACGTTTCAGTGAGTTTTATACATGTTGCAAATTCCTGTGCAAAAAAAAATCCGCACATATTACTAATGCTGTCATGTGAACAGGGCACACAGAGAACAGTTTTCTTTGTGCCCTTAGAGAATGCGTGCAGAAAAACTGATGTCTCTGCTCCATGGTGTGAACGAGGCCTAAAGGTAAAGCATATTGGTTTTGTGTCAGTTTTGTTTAAGTTGATTTTTCAAAAGTTTATAGCTTTAAAATATGGTTTGCAATATTTTGTATTTACTTAACCAAAAATATATATATTTTTTCTTAAAGTATATGTAATCCCTAACCTTGTAAAATAACCCATTCAGTTTAAAATAGAAATGAAAGGCAAAACATTTGTGTATACATATTAAAAATATATATATAAATACTTTTTTTGTCCATTTATAGAAGTGATCACATGCCCTCTGTTCTCAGCTGCATAAGGAGCTTAGAGAGCTGGGGGAGGAGAAACCGCATCACCCTGGTTTTCCCAGTGAATGGCTGTGCAGGGGGCTGATCATTGAAGGAGAACAGGACAAATTCAAGAACAGCTAGAAAACTGACCACCCTATCCTCTCATGCCTAGTGTGGTAAATTTTTAATAGGAAAGCAGAGGGACTGCAGCAACACCAGATATTACACACAAAGGAAGCAATACAAATAGAACAGGATACGTTTTCATACAAGTACATGGTACAGCAGGCAAATATCAGGAATATGAAATGTTAGCTTTACATATTTTTGAATTGTTCACTAAGGGATACAGAAGGAATTCTGAGATGTATGGGTATACTGTCACCTACAGGAAAATTGGACACTAGCAGCAACAAAAAAAATTGTTGGTCAGTCAGTATAACACCTTCCACCCTCACTCTCATGAAGTACTGGTCTCATGCTAGTGTCCTAGGAGAATAGACATCCTTTTTTCTTTGATAAAAGCAACAATTATTTTTCCTTTTTTGTCAAGACATGTTTTCTTCAACTGAACGTCTTTGTTCACTGCAGAGCCAGGAGAGCTCCTTGGTTGCCATACCCACACCTGAGGAAGATACAGGGCAGGCCTGTAATGTGACTTTAGGCACTAGGCTCTGCTAGTGGCACTCTCAAGGAACTTTGTAACTATGTAGGTCACAGAACACTTTTTAAGCTTGGAGCTGTTATAAATCCTCTGCTGTAAGCCTGTTCTTGAAGACTGCTTTGGAATATGTCCACCAGAGGTGAGTTTACTATTTGGACTGTGAATGGCTCTCTGAGTGCTGCACTGGTGTTTCTGGTACTTAATGCTGCCACTGTAGCTCTCAGGACCAATATTATATAAATATTATAGCAAGTGTGGGAGCTTGTCCCCCCTCTCTCTTTCTTTGTAGGTAATTTGGCTTGTGTACTCTGCCTTCTGAGTTTAACCCTTTAGGTTTAACTATTGCAGTAAATGTACATAAGTCGCATGAATACTAACGGCTGGCGCTGCAACAGTTTTTTTATGATGTTGCAAGTTCTTGGGAGTGTGCTCTGGTTACTCCCCTATGGTGCTGAAGCTTGCAGTCTAGTGTTATGAGACAATGTATGCAAAGTCAGGCAGGTCCTACCAGTCCACGATCCAGTAACAGCTCCTAGGTATGTTGCAGCATTGCACCTTTTGCACTCGATGCCACAAGTTCTCTGGAGTCTTCCCTAACTCTATCTGGCATAGCTCCCTCCTATGCATTATCCCTGCCATAATTGCTGACCCAGAATGCAGGGACTGCCAGCGTATATCTTTGCCTTCTCCTCTCCTTGTACAGTATGTCTGTAGCTGCAGCTGTTTTTGTACGTTCAGCTGAGGATGATGAGGAGTCCTACATATACCTTTTGAATAATTTTGTGCTTTACAAGGCTCAGTCTGCTGACATACCTCCTTAGTTTAAAGACAGCATCTTAGAACTTATTGGCACACAGCATACATGCCTAGTACTGGAGCAGCTTGTGTCCAAGTTCTCCAAAGTTACTAGTTGGGGATCCTTTAAGAGTCCACAATCCATCAAAACCTCCCCAGTAGGTTTGCTCATGCAAACAGTTTTTTCAGGTGACTGGTCCTTTCCTGGCCAAGCTAATTTCCTCTCGCAAAGGTATTGCTGAGCAATACCCTACCGAGGAAACCTTTGTTAAGACACAGGACCTTCCCATGGTGGACCCGGCCATTTCTTGCTTGAAACCAACCTTTCCTGTTGAGGACAT